CAGCACGAGGGAGGGTCGAAGACACGCTTTGTTTTGCTTGTTTTGCTTCCCCGTCCATGCGTGACAGAAGGCGGTCATCACCAAGGCTGAATGTTTGACTCCCGTGGGCAAAGATAAGAATACATGAATAAATGGAGTGTAAGATAAATAAGTGAGGGTTAGTTTTTTATGAAGTAGGTGCAGTTTCACCTTGGGAACATATACTTAAAAAAAATAATATATTATCATTTAAATCTCACAGACATAGGAGGTAAGTACCCCCCCCCCCCCCCCCCGCCTTTCTTCCTGTTTAACTTTTGGTAGGACAGTAATAAAACAAAGCAATTAAGAGGCATTTAAGATATTCTATTTTAGGCCTGGCTGGTTTGGCTCAGCAGCCTGCGGTCCGGAGAGTCCCGGGTTCGATTCCTGCTAAGGGCACGTACCTCGGTTGCAGTTTGTCCCTGGCCCTGGTTGGTTGTGTGGTTGGCAGCCACTCGATGTGTCCCTTTCACGTTTCTCTCTCTCTCTCTCTCTCTCTCTCTCTTCCTTTCTCTCCCTCTCACTCTGCCTGAACAAAAAATGGAAAAATGTCCTCGGGTGAGGATAAAAAAAATATTTTTGATTTTAGAGAGAAAGAAAGAAAAAAGACATCAATTGGTTGCTTCTCATATGAGCTCCTACCAGGGATCAAACCTGCAGCTTGGGCATGTGCCCTGACCGGGAGTCAAACCATCATCCCTTCGATGCACAGGACCAGGCTCAAGCACTGAGCCACACAGGCCAGGGCAAGAGGCAGATTTTAAGAGCTGAAACTGACTTGTGTTTTGCATTTGGAATAATGCCTATAAATCATCCCCACAAAGCAGTTTTCTTCAAAACTTTGTTGTTGTTAATCCTCACCCAAGAATACTTTTTCCATTGACTTTTAGAGAGAGTGGAAAGGAGAGGGATGAGACACATCATGTGAGAGAGACACTTGACTGGCTGCCTTCCTGCACTCCAGCACACACCCCACACGGGCCCCACCGCTGCCCGGACTGGGGCCAGGGAGCAAGCCTGCAACTCAGGTTTGTGCCCTTGACCTGGAACTGAACCTGTGACCTTTGGGTGCGCAGGCCAACGCTCTAACCACTGGACCACATCAGCCAGGGCTTCTTCAAAACTTTTTGAAAAAAATTAGCTAAGGGCAAAATATCTTTTAAATCTGTAATCATGATCCAAACATTTTAAAATGCAAAGCTGGAGAAAGAAATGAAATCTAGTGTACTAGCCAATTCTAAACACACAACAGAGTGGACACACAGTTTCCCGTTATGTCACCCCTCCCCTAAGTAATACGGAGCTCAGTTGAACCACCATCATAAAATAAGGAGAAGTTCTTTATACAGAATGGTTGGGAAATGGGCCCACTCACTTAATTTCATTTTTTGGATGAATTTGCAGATGTCCCATTCAAGAATTTCTATTTTTACGTCACCTCAATACTTAGTTTATCTAGACTTATTTTTATCTTTCTTCAATTCAGAAAACAGGCACAGAGGGTGTTTCAGGACCTCAGACCTCCCTGTCACTCCCCTCAGGCCAGTCCCACTGGTCTCTGTCCCGTGTCTGACCTGGGCTCAGCCGCTACCCCCCCGCCTCCTCCCTCTCTTGCTGAGCCGCCCTCATTCTCATACAGCCGCCTCCACAGCAGCCTCTGCGGGGAAGCCGCGCCCCTCACGCCCTGGCCATTCAGGCTCACCTGAGCGCTCTGAAGGGGTGCACCCTGCATGGTGCTCACGACTCTCTGAACTTATGTTCCTCATTGTACGTGCTGACCGAGACCCCGCGCCTACCCCCACCGGGGGGAAAGTCCTAAAGAGGGACCTAGAACTGGCCTGTCCACCCTTGAACTTCCAGGGCCTTGAAGGGTCCAGTGCACAGTGGGCACCCAGCAAAGGGCTAATGAATGGAGTGAAGTAAAGGTCCATCAAATGGCATGCCTTCAAAAAATGCCTTCTTTTCGTTCTGTTGACAGCCTGTTATTTTCATCTGCTTATCAGATAAGTACTGATGGAATGGCTACTGTGTATAAAGTGTGGGGATACAATGTTGAATAGAGCATTTCCCACCCTCATTGAGTTTATAACCAGAAATAAAAGAAAATTCAGCTAGCTGTTTTCCGTTCTGTTAATGCTTTTCATCCTATTGCACTAAGTGCCTATTCTCCAGGTGTCTTCATTGCCAAAGGCACACGCTTTTATTTCAGGAAACAGGTGGGAAGCCACTTTTCGGCATCACCTAGAAATACTGTCTTTTGTCAGGACAGGGCCATGTGCTGAAATTCAGACCACTGAAAAAATGGCTCCTTCCCGTGAAGAATTGCAGTCAGTGGGGATCTGGGCCTTCATGTTTCACAATGAACAGGTTACAGAGGAATTAAACCACTCGTGTTTTGATACCATCTTAGATTACCTAACGTCTTTGATAAGCAGCACAGATTGGAAGGTGAGACTGGAGTGTCAGTCGCTGTGCTCCAGAGACCAAGCATCTTGACGTTAATCCTTCCTCACCGACAGCAGCTTCCAAGCCACATCCTCTCCAAATCAGGGACATGTGACTACAAAGTACCCCTATCTCACAGAGGTGACAGGCAGCCAGACCCGGACACTCCCTGACCCTCCATCCCTGAGACCATGCTGGGCGTTCCTCTGAGGAAAAATCGTTGCATAAACGCCTTTGTCTTCGAAGATTATGAACCCATGGAGGCCTCTCCCCTCTTCTCAACCACCCCAGACCGGTTTATCTTGAACATCAAATCTCAACAGTAGCAATTTCTTTGATCCTGGATGACTGTAGATAAACTTTACTGCTATGTTGCTCATTGCTTCCAGCAGGAATAAGACAAGGTAGCAGTAAAGGGAGAGAAGACAAGGAAGGAATGTTGAATGTGAGAAAGAAGAGTGGAAGGTGGGGGGAGGGAAGAGATAAACCACAGAACTTGTATGCATGTATGCATAACCAATGGACATGGACAACAAAGCCGGGGAAGGGGCGGGGGGGCGGGATGGGGAGGAACGTGTCAATGGGGTTAAAAAGGAGAAACATCTGTAACAAAAATAAAATTAAAAAAAAAAAAGAGTGGAAGGAGAGACTGTGAGAAGGGGGGACAGAAGCAGGCGGCGGGTGACAGGGACAGGTATCCTCCTTCCCCAAGTCTAGAAAAAACATTTGACTCTGGCCACCCTAGTAGCCCCTCGATCTCTTGAACTGTCCTCTTCCAGCAAGCTGACCCCACTGGGTTCCTCTCTGCCCCACATCTCTGCTTCTTGCCTCTGTTGACGGGTCCTGCTGCCTCCAGCACACAGTGGCATTAGATACATTTACATTGTTTTGTGACCATGCTTACTGTCCATTTCCAGAACACTTTCAGAATCCCAGACTAAAACGCTGCACCCATTAGACACTAACTCCCATTAAACAAGACTCGTGTTTTGTCTATTAGTTTTTCATGACAAAACTGAATATAATTCTTGAACATTCTACAAGGAGTGGCCTTTAAGTAGATTAGATCTCCTTGTCCACTGTGCTGGGGCCCCGGGTCGGGCTTAGCTAGCAGGGCCTTTCCACGTTGGCCAGGTGACAGACTCTGATGTGTCCCTCAGGTCTGCTGTTTCCCACACTCCTTGGTCCCAAAGAAAAGTGGGTGAGGTCTCGACCAATATCACTCTACTGGAAAAACAGCCCAAACTGCTTGCCACTAATTGTGGGTCAATTATGTCATCATTGTGCAGGAAGAATGACCTAATTACCCTGACTAGCTCCTGACTGCATTAGCAAATCATATAAATTACTCTGCTCCATACAGCTTCCCCCACCTTCTGCCCCCCAGTCATTCCAAAGTCCTCTGGTAGTTAATAGCCGTTTTCTTTTCAAGTTGCTTCATTCATTTCTGTTCCAGGTGGCTCCATCGTGGTGAGAGGTTTGGCTTCTCTTCTCAAGCAGGTGGCACACCTGGTTCCAGGGGCTCTTGTAGCACAGAAGCTGCTGTTCCGTCAACAGCGCTCTCCTACTGGGACCTGGGGACAGAACGTGTCCTAGGTGTGCACCTGGCAGCCAGGGCAACAGGCACAGCCTTGGAGTGGGGCCAGGATGCCCAGGTCTCTGATTCAGCTCTCTCACCTCCACAGAGATGGTGTCTGTCTGGGAGTGGTTCTGGGAGTAAATGGGGTGTGCAGGTCCGCTGCCGTGCCAGCCGCCCGGGGAATAACGGAAGTTCTGCGCCCTCTCTGCTCGCCATCAAATGGCCTCTTCCAGATCAGAGGGAAGGAGGTGATGGGTAGGAAGCCGGACCTCGAAGGTCTGAGGCTCTGTCTGGCCCAAAGGGTACTTATCTCTACGCAAAACCGTCCTGAGTCAGAGGCCTCCAGGTTTCAAGCACGGGCAGCCACCTGGGTGTTGGTCGAGCGGAATTCCTAATGAAGATGCTTGTAAAAAGCCGCTGGTGTGAATCCAGAAAAGGACTTGACCGGCCCCCGGCTTTGCCCTGTGCCTCCACCTTTCCCTTGGCGGCAGCGGGTCAAGATGAGACAGACAGGTGTGGGAGGCGGCGAGGTACGAGAGAAGCAGGTGTCGGAGGAGGGCTCCGTTCTCGGCACCCGGGCTTCGGGGCTGCTCCCGGGATTTCCTGCAGCGGGTGGAGGGCCCCGCCCTCCCCAGGCGCACTGGGCCTGGAGCAGGGGACGCGGCGACGGGTCGGCAGCGGCCCGGTCCTGGGAGGCGTTTCTCCCCAGCCCTGCCCAGGCGCGGCGGCCTGGACGTGAACTGGAATTCCAGGCTCGGTCAGCCCCGGGCGCTCTCCCCGCTGGCCTCCCTGCCCCGCCCGCCCGGAGGAGGGGCGCCTGGCCGCGGCCGCGGTGGCGTGAGCGCGGGCGGGGGCGGCCCGCGGGGAGGGCGCACCGCCCCTCGCCGGCGAAGCGGGAGCAGGCAGCCCTCCATTGGTCGGGCGGGCCGGCCAATCCCTCCAGGCCGCGGGCGGAGGAGGGGCAGTGAGTGCGGGACTCCGGAGGGGACCCAAGGCTCTGCGGGACCCAGTCGGACCGAGCCGCCCAGGGGAGCGACCTTCGATCGTCTGCGCTGCGGCCACTCTCGGGCCAGGAGCGCGAAGCCGAGTGCGAGACCCCGATCCGAGCGCAGCCTCTTCGCGCCGCTGACCACCATGACCCACTTCAACAAGGGCCCTTCCTACGGGCTGTCGGCCGAGGTCAAGAACAAGGTGCGTCAGCACGGGTGGGGTCCCTGGGGCCGGGCGGCTGCACTGCGAGCCGACTTTGCGGAGCGGAGACGTCGAGCGGCGGGAGTGGCCGCGTGTCCCCATCCCGTCCCGGGCGCCCTCCTGGCTTTGTTCCCGCGCCGCGGGCCGGACGAGAGGCGGGCGGGGTCCGGGCTACTGGAATCCCGCCGCGCGGGCCTGGGGCCCCGGGGACCGGCCTTGGCTGCAGGACGCTCCCCTCCGGGCAAGGGGCACTCCGGCCGGGCCGGCCATTCGCCCCTAAGTGGGGCCGGTCCGCACAGCCGAGGACCCGGGAGCAGCCTCAGTCGAGCGCCCCGGGCCGCCGTCGACACCGCGCGTTCTCCGTCTCCACCCTCCGGCCGAGTGCCGCGGGGAGCAAAGTTAGGCGGGTGAGTGGCCGGCCTGGACTCCCATTGTTCTCGGAGAGGGATACCGCCGAGGGCGTGTTTCCCCGACCCAGGCACTCCCGGAGGAACTGGACCCGCCCGGGACCCTTCAGTTTTCTGAATCTCGGTGCCGCTTCTTCGGAAAACCGAGACAAAGCCCGAGCGTGCGTTTTTGGGGTGCTTTCTGCGGAGACTTGAGGTTTTTTTTCTTGTGAAAACCGAGAAGTTTGTGTACAGGAGGCTGTAACGGTATCAGGGTGTCTTCGGGTGGTGCTTTTGTTCAGGGCTGGCTTGCCCAGCGGGTTGCAGTTCGCAATGATCCGGCTTCCGGCGCGCTCACTTCTGCCTCTGCCTCGCCGAAGAATGCGTCGTGTTTGTCCTGGGACTTTGGGTCTGGGAAAGAGATGAGAGGCGTCCCCCTCCCCAAATCTTCTCCTTCCTTCCTCCCTCCCCGCATTCCAAGTCCATGACATCAGGGGTTTCTGGGGGAGAGACCAGCCAATCGGCGCGAACTGCGCACAGAACGCTCATTGTCTTGGTTCTGCTGTTCTGGCCAAAGCTCCACAAAGGAGCGCCGCTGTGCTCAGAGCCCTAGCCTCCCGGGAGCCCAGCCGCCGGGTGGCCACCGCACCTCGAGTACCCGGCCTGGCGGGCGGTGGCACCTGGCGTCGGGTCCGCGGCGCACAGCCCACTCTGCAGAGCAAGGAGCGACCCAGCGGAACCGAGGGAGGGCTGTGGCCCTGCTCGCCTCAGCGACGGACCCCGCAGCTCACTGTCATTCAGTTGTTAGAGATCCTGAGTGGGCTTAGAAGCCAGGAGTCATTTTAGTCTTGTCTCTGAAATTGCAGTGTTTAAGTCCTGGACTTGTCATGTGCTTTGCCCTTATTAGAAAACAGTTTTCTGAACATTTTTTTAAAGAACAGAAGAGTGAGTGGTTTGTGTGTGATTGATGACCACCCTCACCCACTAAAAACCTTCCAAAAAAACAGTGTTCTGTTCCTCCCCAGGTTCCCCGGCTAGAGGAGTCCTCCGAGCCGCCTGTGCACACTGCAGGGCCCTACCTAGCCTGGCCTGTGCACAGCAATTTGTGATTCTGGGCTGGCGGCGGGCCAGTCTGAACTTTCTGCCTTGTAAATAAGGTGCTGACACTTGGCAGTCCTTCAAGGGACTGGCTTTCCTTGGATGTTAATATACATGGTAATTTCTTTTTTTCCTACTTACTGTTGAAGGAGAGGCATAGACTGAGGCCAGACACTGTAACTATTAATAAAACCTGAGTGTTCGGAAGCTTTGGAAAGTTAGTTATAACTTCGCGTCTGTCCCTTTAAGCACCAAACCCCTATTTAAGGACCTCTTTCATTTACATGGTTCCTTAGCAGCCCTGTGAGGTGGGATTACCCATCATCATATAAAGACCAGGAGACCAAAGCCCAGGAAGGGTGTGATTTGCTCAAGATTAAAGAAGAAAGTTGGAACATTCTAAGAATATTAACTCTAAGGAGGAGGTCTTAATTTAGGGCAGTCTCAGGGATATTCTACAACTCACCATTGTCTCCCCCACCCCACCCACATTTTTGCTGCCCACCTGTTATTCCTTGACATTGTGATACTCATGTGCAGAAATTCTGTGTCCATCTGTTCTGGGCTCGGAATGCAACGTCCTTGTTGGCATGGACCAGGAACCTGGACTTTGCTTCGTTTGGATACCTCCAGGTCCTTCCTACTTTTTCTGTAGGTATTGCATAACAGTAAGTCACTTGTATGTAAGGTTTGTTTGTTTGGTTGATTTTTTTTCCCCTTAAAACCTAATTTAACAGGGGAAAGTAGAAGCCCCCTGGGGAGGCGGTGTGGGGTGGGCCTTGGGGTCAAGCAGACAGGTTCCAGTCCCCTTGGCCACTTCTGCTTTGTCTGATGTTGGGCAATTATTTGCTATCTCTGTTCCAGTTTCCTGATCTGTAAAAGGGGGGAATAACAGTGAACACCCTAAACTCTGCAAGGTTGAGATGTCTGGCTTGTAGTAAGTACTCAGACTATGTTCCAGTTGTCAGTTCTTAGTAAGAGAAAATTCGTATTGGCATTGTATTTCTCAGACTCCTAAGCCACTGTCTCTTTGAGTTATCCCCTTCTATTAAATAACCCTTTGGTCTTTTTATATTCTACCTGTGAACGCAGTTCATTCGAACATTTAGAAAGTCTTTGATCTTAGTTACTTTTAATTAGTAAAACTTCAGGGGGGCGGGAATCTGTAAACTTTGTTTGACGAGGTGACAATGCCCAATAGAAATACAGATTTACTCTTTTTCTTTTATAAATCAGCAAGATGTTTGAAAAACAGCTTAAAAGGTAGACTCCTTCAGCCTCCTATATGATCAGTGTCTCTTCAATAGCAACAAAAAGGTCAATAACTTGCAATCCACAAAGATTGTTCTAGAGTAGAGGGAGGGAGAAGGTAGCAGCTGGTGTTGTAGGTGGTTCCAGGAGGGGTGGGAACACTCCTAGATTAGTCAAGTCCCAGGTGGATTATTCAGGCCCTTGACTGTACCTCTCGGAGACAAGAATGAAAAGGGGAACGCCTGTGTGCACGTGAATGGGATGTCGCAGTCCGGAGTTCCTTGTGTGGCCGAGGCTGTTGTGACACAGCTCAGCAAATTCTGGCGGGCCTCCGGGGAGAGGGGACCCTCATGTTGGGGGGCAGTGGGAGGAGGTGATCTGACCCGGTGTGTGTTCTGGGAGGAGTCTAACAGAAATGCTCAGAAGCTTGGAATCGCGCACACCGCCTCCCAGTTCCCTGCTCTTGGGAATGCGATTGGAGCTAACGAGCCCTGAGCTCAGCATCTCCCTGGTTACAAGATGCTGTCCCTCAACAGCTCAGACCCACTGGAGAAGAGTTACTACTAAAACTAAGTCGCTGAGGAAGTTAACAGTCTTGCAATAGTTCGGTAGCCCCAGAGTCCTATGAGGCCTGTGGCCAGCCTGCCCTGTGCCGCGTGGACACGCCATTGCTGGGGGCACTCCTGGCTTGAGGGACCCCAGGACTCTGCTGGCGTCGTACCCAAAGGTGTCTGCCTTGTTTTGCTGCCAGAGCTCCAGAATCATGGTCCAAATGTGTAGATGGGTTTCGCTAGAGCTTTTTCCTTTCAGTCTCCAGTTCAGAACTAGGCTTTTAATTCAAAACCTTTTATCTGTCTCTTTCCACCAGTGGTAAGACCTCTGTCTTACTCACTGCTACAGGTCCATCAGGATCTGTATTTTACACCAGAACTCAACACATGGTAGATCAAGAACTATCTGGATTTAATTAACGGATTTGGAACAGACTTTGTCACCCGAGTGATGGTTTTGATGGAAGTGCTGGTTTTTACAGTTTATTTTTCTTCAGCAGCTTCTTTTGTTAGTATGACATTGAAAACTTATTACTGAGATCTTTATCACTGAGATTCTTTCTTAGATTCTGAAATTAGGGGAGAACACACACAGCAGCCCCCTGTTGACCAAGCAGGTTGGAAAATGCATCCTGTGGAATTGGCAGAGCCATGCTGCCCTCCTAGAGCTCGGGGTACCTGCTCTGGGGTACCTGTCCTGGGACCTACAGCTTTCCACTCTTCCTGGGACAGTGTACCATCTGCCTCTTCATTCGTTTAGATTTCAGCAGTGAGCTCCACAGTGAAGACCTTGCCCGGACTGCCATCGGCCAGAGCTGCATCCCTTCCCTTCCCAGGTGGGAGCGTGAGGGTTAGTGAGCGATTTCACCGAATTGCATCATGAGCCGTGATTAAAATGATCTGTGATGCAAAAATAACCACCATCGGATGGTTTGGGGGTTTCAGCCAGTTCTTCCCATTCTATCCAGGAGCGTGAGGACATGCTTTCTCTCCGCACGTGACTGGTGGTGGAAGGGGGCTCGTCCTTAGGCTTGGGGGCAGTGCCCTCCTGTTTCAGCATTAGGCTCGGAGAGCTTACGGACCCTAGGCACTGGGTCTCCGTAACCCTGGACGCATGGCCATCGGGGGCTCTGGCCGTCACTCATGCCTACCCGTGCACAGGCTTTTGTTGAGGATTTCTTGAGCCTGGACAGATCAAGGTTGTTTGTGGGCCTGGAGCTTACACAGTTTAGGGGCCGTCATTCAAAAAAAGTACAAACATATCTTGCATACTTTATAGGAACATGACCATGGAAACCCTGTGAACTTGGGGTGTTAGATTAGTCTCCTCCAGGTCATCAGTGAGAATGGGGAGCCTCGTGGCTAAAAACGTGGACTGTGGAGACTGGGTCGGAACCTCTGACTCAGACTCGGGGAGTAACCTGTCTCACCTGTAAAGCGAGGCTGTGGGAGGAGCTACCTTTCCAGGCTGCCCGCCGAGAGCCCACGTTACATAAGCCTCAGCCTGGCTCCTGGCTCCGCGCTGCCGGCTGGCTGTGCTGGCTGCCCAGTCCTGCTCCCCTGAGCTGCTTTGATCTCCTAGATGTGATGGTATCTCCAGGGCTGGACATCCGTGCCCAGAGCTGTTTGTGTCTGAATGACGCCCAAGCTGTGCTTCTCGCCACTCATGTCTGTGTCAGGACTGTGGCCTGTCCCCGGGTCCCTGTCCGCCGCC